TTGGCTGTTAGCCTTAATTGGAGAGATTGTTGACCGAGATTGTATGGCGTTGCTTATGCTCGTCCCCTATTTCACTGAGCTTGAAACTCAACAACTGTGTTCGTTGTAAAGCAATGTGTGACCAAGAGTTGGTGAAAAGTCTGGAAGCGTTGAGATTGGGATGGTGATGTTTATAGATAGTTTCTTCTTGTAGTTGGATTGTCATGCAGAGTTTCTTCTATTTGTATTGTCCTCCATTTACGGGTGTTGTGCTCACCTTTTGATGGTTTGTAATGATTGAGAGGCCACCGAAGTTTTTCTGCATTTGTCTGGGCTTAATAATAATTGGTACGGCTGTCATCTTGTTGACGATGTAATCAATAATCAAAATGGTAACTGGCCGTTATCGATAATAAACAATTGGTTACTGATAACCAAGTGTCACTAATTAGTAATCGACGGTAAAATGTTTAACCAAGTAATCATTTGAGGTTCGATGAGCCAAAGACATAGGCTTAATTAGTGTGAGTCCACCAATCACCATAAGATGTCGAACTCTTAGGCGTTGAAGAAAATAAACATTTTAGACCCATATTTTACCGGACTAATGTATTGGAGTCTCCAGCAACCACCACCAACCTCTAACTACCAACATGGTACCAAACTTTCCAGTTAGTTTCCCGGTTCTTAAGTTATCTGCTTCTCACTTCCCATTCCACGGAGCCTAGCCCCGTGTTAGTATTGATGTTAGAATCAAAAGAATCTACAACAAAAAACGAAGTTAGAAAGAAAATAACGATCAAGAACTTGCGAGCACGGGAAAACAACAACAAAATAACATAAGAAAGAGGAAGAACTACAAAACCAACCAAATTCTACCTTCGGGATGGGGAGAAGATAATGTTGGATTTAACCACATACTTGTCAGAAAACTAGACCAATCTGTAGCAATAAAGAGCTGAAACATAAGTTAACTGGACCCGGTACGTTAAAAAGGAAACATAGATCATATTAAACAATGGAATTAAGGTTGTGGCCTTGTGGGTAGTTTGTAATGTTATAAACAAAACATAGTAAAGGAAAAAACAAAGGATTGGAATGAGAAGCGAATTACGTACTAGGGGATATTATCAATTTCACCATCACCACTTCTCTCACACTCTGTTCATTTGGGAAGGAAAAGGAGGGGAGGGATAGAAATGGAAGGAAAGCATCAACTTCAAGAAACTTTCCCTTGTTTTTTAGATTCTGAACAGTAGCAAGGTGAAGGAAAGTGGGAGGATAGGTTACTATTTAACCCAACCCTCCATTTTGGAGAGAAAACATCAATTTTAACCGGCCAAATTATTTATTTATTTATTTGTCCTCTCTCCTCCCTTTTCTCTACAGACTTCTTCTTTTTCTTTGTCGATTTTCTTCCCCAATCAAAACTTCTATTCTTTTCCTTTTTCCCCAAATCAGAGAACTAGGGTACATAAGGGATTATGTTCCAGTGAGCAGTAAGGTCCAGGGAGAAGAGGGAGCTCCAACTCCTCAAATCGAATGCCTCCGAGCTCCAACTTCTTCGTTCTTCCTTCCCAAATCCAGAGAGCTCTCCTATTCCATGATCGATTTCCCAATGCTCTCTAGTAGGCGACAAGAACAACGACGAGTCGCCGTTGTCGGTGTTGAACGGAGGGGGGAAAAGGCGATATGTGTACCTCTGTTTATCAGAAAAGGATTAGTGTTGAGTAAAGGGACGCGAGTAGATCAGGGAGAAGAGGGAAGACTTGATTTCAAATTTATTTTCCTGGAGAGATGTTGATTGAGAAACAGAGAGTGATGAGATGAGGGTGGAATTATATTGTCTTTTTAGGGGCAAAGAAGAAGATGGGTAGACGAAGGGAGAAGGCCAAAAGGGAGAGAGAAGGAAAGTGGGTCTGGTTTTTATTTTCAATTCATTAATTTTTTATGGTCTCCATTGTTCAAAGTAATTAAATTAATACTTAAGTAGGTTTTTTATGAACTTTTTTTTTATTAATTGGATGTTGAGAGATTTGAGTGTGATATCAAGGATTACGGAATTTACCTCATACGTAACGTTGTTTTGCACGATACATAACACTGTTGTATGAGATATAAAAACTTGTTACGCTCCTCTTACAATTTATGTATCTGTAATTTGTTGTATGTTTATATATTTAGTTGCTATGTTATTACTCAATAAAATAGTTAACAAAATTTTAGTAATAGGTTGACAAATTTCATTCAAATAACCAACTTTTGATTTGTTGTAGTTAACAAAATTAACAAAGAAGAACAAATTTGATCCACATTACATAATTAATGTAAATAGTATAAACAAATAATTAAATTATTTAACTATTCTATCATCAATAAAATATAATACATATCACAATTCCCAATCTACTTTTTCTCTCCCACTTTCCCTTCCACTTTCCTCTATTAAACAACATTTTCTTTCCAATTCCCTCTAATTTCCCTCCCTTCCAAACTTAACCTCCCCTCCAAATTTTCCTACCCTCCCCTCCTTTTCCTCCCTTCCTTCATGAACATAGTGTCAATGTCCTGAAAATAATATTATTATATCTTTAAAAGAACAAGTAAGGATTTTACTGTTCCTTAGTAGGGGTGTTAGTCGGTGCGGTTTCGGTTTAACCGCACCGAAATATCGGTTAACCGCAACAAAAATTGTCCCAAGATCACTAACCGAAACCGAAACCGACAAAGACTTCGGTTAACCGAAAACCGCAAACATCGGTTTCGGTTTTCCCTTGCGGTTAACCGAAACTGCAGGTTCTGGTTCACTTTCTCGATTTTCGTTCAGAAACCGACCACCCAAAACCGAATTTCAACCACCTTTTTTAATGATTCACCCTCAATTTTGAGTGACCTGCTTTTGTTTCAGCCTCTATAATCACACACCATAAAGTCATCTAAATCAATTGAACATAAAGCAAAAGCAACCACACAATTCAACCACAACTCCACAACATAAAGTCTACATGCCCACAATTCAATCACAAGTCACAACCACAACAAGACACAAATAACAAGTTCATTATCTCCAAATCATCAACCTAAATGATCCGAAGATCTCGCTCCAATTCATCTAGCCCATAGTCATCATTTACTCCAAGATCTTCATCTAGCCCATAGTCATCAACCTAAGGTTCACTCTATCGAGTGCAAAGGGGATTTAGAGAGGGGTGACTTTCGAGTTCTAACTCTTAAAAACATTTGAGACTCTTGATGGAGGGTTGTTTGCAATAGGTGAGAATTGGGATGTTTGGAATTGCAACTTTGATTGGTTTTGAATCTTAGAACTTTTTCCCTTAGCCAAAGTAAAAAACCATGTAGTTACACTAGTAGTCGGTTATCGGTTTTCTTATCGGTTAACCGCTAACCGATTAATCGGTTAGCGGTTAACCACTAACCAAAATACTACTAACCGAAACCGAAATCAATAAGGAAGTAGCGGTTATCGGTTAACCACTAACCGACTTTATCGGTTCGGTTATCGGTTAAAACCGATAACCGACTAACCGTTTATCACCCCTATTCCTTAGTGTCAAATCAAGAGGGGATTAAAAAAATCATTTTATTATCAAGAGGCTTCCTTAGTGTCAAATCAATAGGGGACAAAACCTGTTTTTTTAGCGGAAAAAATCCCACTGTACACATGTTTTTAAAAAAAATTCTCAAAATACACACGTTATGAAAAAATTCCCAATCTACGCATGTTTGGGCCTTCACCGCATCAGACTAAGGCGGTGATTGCATCACCGCGTTAAAGAAGAGCGGTGATTGCATCACCGCGTTAGAGAAAAACGGTGATTGCATCACCGCTGTAGACAAAAACGGTGATAGCTTCACCGCATTAAACGGTCGCGGTGAAGGCCTGGCCTGCGTCGAATCTTTAAAAAACGTAACTTTGTGCTCGGTTATCCGATCGTGGTGAAATTTTTTTTGATTCCGCATAATTTTTCGAGATCTTGCAAACATACCTTTTTTTTATTCCGCATAATTTTTTGCAAGATCTCGAAAAATTATGCGGAATCAAAAAAAATTTCACCACGATCAAAGTTATGTTTTTTTAAATATTTGACGCAGGTCAGGCCTTCACCGGCTTTCTCTAGAGCGGGGATGCACCAGTGATGCAATCACCGCCTTCCTCTACAGCGGTGATGCAATCACTGTTTTCCTCTAACGCGGTGATGCAATCACCGCTCTTCTTTAGAGCGGTGATGCAGTCTGACGCGGTGAAAGCCCAAACATGCGTAGATTGGGAAATATTTTCATAACGTGTGTATTTTGAGAATTTTTTTTAAAAACATGTGTACAGTGGGAAATTTTCCTTTTTTAGCCCCTTACTTATTAATTAGGTTGTCTTTTCAATAAGAGAGTTTTTTTCCCTTTTTAATTCTAGAATAGAAACCCTCTCTTATTTTATTCTCTTTGAATTTTGTAGTCAAATCAATAATTATTATTCTTTGCTTTCTTTTTGTTATTCTTTCTTTTATCTCCCTCCTACTCCATCTCACTCATCTCCATTCACTTCTCTCTGCTCCAAGAAGAAAATGGAACACAGGGAAAACATCCCACGGCCCACGCAGAAAGAGAAGAAAGAGGTGATGTCTCTCTTCCTTTTCTTTTGTTGTTTATTTTTATTTTTAGTAGTTTATTTCTTAACTTCTCCAACACTAATCAACATCTCTCTCCTCATCTCTTCCATTTCAGCTCACTCTCTTTTCATTTTTCCCTGAAAAAATCTCTCCATCTCCTTCTAGCTAGAAGATGAACGCGGATGACGATGGTGACCGGAATGAGGCCATTACAATGAAAATGTCGGATAATAGCCTCTCAATGTCGCTCTCTCAGCTTACGTGTCTGTAGCGAATGAACACAGTGAAGGCGAATTTGGTTGACGAAGATCAACCCAAGGTGAACACAATGAGGATTCGGGGTCGACGACAATGAGCACGAAGTGGTAAGTACAGAACCTCACAGCTTCGAAACAAATGGCGGCCATGGAGAAAATGAGGAAGCTTTGCAGGTGAGCTTTTCTCATACTCGAGTTTTATCTGGTTAGATCTCAATTTCTCTAGCCTTTTAACGAACTCTGCTTATGTTCTCATCTCCGTCTTTTCCCCTTCTTTTTACTGTCCGACTACCTGATTGGAGCTTCCTGACTTCCCACCTTGACGCATAAGGCCTCAATAAGAATTTGCAATTCACTATGTCGCAGAATTGGAGGAGGTCGTGAGGGAGACGACGACTATGGTGGGGTGGACAGTAGCAAATTACATAACAAAGAAGTTTGTGGAATGAAGTAGGCGAGCGAGAGCAGTGAATGGGTGGCGGTGGAGCAAGCAGGGGAGTCATTGGGAGAGTTAAAGAGCGCGGTGGCAAGTGACAAGGGGAGTGCAAAGAGTGCAGGGGGAGGAAGAAGGAAGCGGCATAACGGAAAATAGAGCCCAGGAAGGTAAATTTTGATTTTTAATAATTAGTTTTGTTTAATCTCGATAGTGGGCGTAGGATAATTCACGACATTGAGAAGCTCTCAAGGAAAATGGCGAGGGGGGAACAGGATGATGGGTTCAAAGAAGAAGCTGAACTCGCCTAACTGTCTTTCCTCTCTCAAGATCTAGGAATTTGTGTGTTCAATGAGTTGAATTCCTGTGTTCATGGATGGTTTCGTAGTAGCTTGAACTAATATAATTTTGTATATTTGTCATGTTTTTCAAACCCAAAAAGCATAAAATATTTTCCCTTTATACGTAATCTGCCTATGTTGTCAAGTCTCGCCTTATTCTGAACAACTCATTTGTGTGTTTTTAACAGAGGCAGCCAGTGGATGGCTTTTCAGAATTGGATGGATGTTTGCTGGACTCACAAAAGAATGAGATCTGTAAGTAAGCTTCATGTTTTGGTTTTGACCTTAAGGTTTTAAATAGTAATTTTCAACTTTTCAGATGTGTGAATGCTCTTTGATTGAGTATCAATGAAATTAGAAAAGCAGTTTTTGATGGATAGTTGGCCATATGATACCTTTGTCTTCTGTTTTTTTTTTTTTTTTTTGGTTCACTAAGCAAGGCAAGTTCCTTGGGGTTCATTTGGCAATCCATATCTAAAAGGCTTACTGAATATGATTTGTGCTTTTAGGTTGACCAGCTTGATTTATTAAAACTAACCAAAATGTCACAATGACCTTCAAATAGTATGTGAACTTAATTAGTTGTTTTGCTTGAAAAATCCTTCTGCATCCCGTGTTCATAGAGCTGTGTTTGTCATATTAATATCCCAGTAGGTGTTGATGAAACATGCAATATCTATCCCGTATTAATCTCCTTTGTCGTGTAGATTTAAAAGTCACCTTTGAACATGAAATGCTGAGGAATGTTATACCTTCTATCTAAATTTGCGGCAAATCCAGTTTACGGGACTGAATAATGAATGATTTGGTTTTCACTTTTCACTATACAAAAATAATGGACAAGAAAGGATACTGGTTACTGTTCCCTTTCTTTTGCTAAAAGTCAGCCACTACTTACATCAACTTAAAATATCGTTTGCTTTTGGGAGGAAGATGGTATAGGTTGTTAATTGTGCTTTGTTTCTTTTCCCTCCAGATGGTTCCAGATGATCATGTAGTGGAGAGATTACCATGAAAATGAGAAGAAGGTGAATAGTAGTTAGGAGAATTATTCCCATACAAAGATGTTATATGCTTTTTATTATTATTGTGATGCACTTTGAGAGACCATCAAGGTCCCAATTTATATACGCTCACTGATCAATTATTATATCTTATTCCTCATGATATTAGGTCATTTCATTTGCTGTTTTTTAAATGTCAAATTTAATTGTGAATTTGACAGTATAGTAACAATAGAGGACACTCTATGAGAGAGTTGGGTTGAACTCAAGCCATTCAGAAATAGATATCAGATCAGTCCATAATCAATAATCACTGTCAATGCACTTTCATGAGACAGGACTACTGAGGTTATGCATTGATCTCATAAAGCACATATGAGCATTTCATGCGGTGTCATATAGACTTTGGCTGATTTTGCTTCCTTTGTGTCTTCAGTTGTGGCTCTTGGTTCTGTCCTGCGCTCCGTACAACTTCCTTTGTATTTTTTTATTCTGCATTTTATCTCTTTGCCTCCTTCACTCTCCATTCTCATTTTGCCATTGATTGGTTCTTTTTTATTATGACATACAGGTTGGTTCAAGGCACTAGAATTATGTGTCCTTGCAGCACATGACCAGCAACCAGTCCAATTTGCGTCTATACTTGCAAGGTGTACCAAAATAAGGGCCGGTATTGTTCAATTATCTTATCCTTACTTTAAAAGTTTAGTTTTCAGTCTTAATTCTTAAACTATTTTCGAAATCAAATAACATTTTCTATGTTTCTTATTAGTATATCACTCACTCATATTGTACTATTTCTGCAACTTAAAATTGATATTTATTTCCAATTGTGTTGCATTACAGCTACGTCTTCAAACGATGCTATCATAATAGGAGATTCCTTATTCCTTTGCAAGGAAGCAGTTTGAGATGTGGTTTTGATGGTGATTCCATGTTCATTGGGAAATCTATAGTCAAGGGAGGGAACATCAAATTGCATGCGACAACATCTTTTCCTACAATTGGTTCTCTACATTGATGTGTAAGTTGTGTTTCTCATTTTTATCGTGATGCTAAGGATAAGAGCTCTGAAGAGACCAAACATTTCCATATGGATTTTGAATCTATCAGCAAGGTTTACGTGGTTCGATGAGGGGAAAGTGGAATAGAAATAGGTACTAAATATTAAAAATCAGAAAGAACTCCTCTTTGATTGGCTAGCGCCTATCAACACCGATGTCTTAGCCACTTTCATACTCCATAGCCTCTCTCGCAATATTGTTTCCAATAATGAGCTTCCTACCTCAGATCACTTGCTTTCTCTTTAGTCTTTTGGTTTTTGTTGGGTTTCTGGTGTTCGGTAAAAGGAACGTAGAATTTCTAGGTTCTTTCTTGGACAATGTGGTTATTTCAGGGTTCTTTCTGAGTATGATTATGATAATAAAGTTATGGAACCCTGTCTATTATTATTTGCATAAGCATTTTCTTAGCAATCAAGGAACATATTATGTTAAAGCGGCTTAAAGGTTTTGTATGATTCTAGCGATGATATGTTGGATCTGAATGCTCTGCAGACATGAACGAAGATGAGCAGCATCCTTCAAGCTCTAAAGTGAAGGAAACCAAGGATATTTTGAAGCTGCTTCGAGCTATTGATAAAATTAAAGTCGAGGTTGATCAGCACAAGATGCACAGCAGTGGATACGGATGACAACCAAGGTTAGCAAGTGGAGTTTTGCCTCAGTCAACTATCAGTAGTTTGGCCATTAGAGGCGATCACTTTCTATATTGAATTTATAGATTTTATTTTTCCTTCCTTTAACATTACATCTAACCTCAATGGAGCACCATATGTTTAGTCATTTCACTAATATCAATTACTATCGATAAAACCCCATGAGAAAGGAAGTGACACAAGATGGAGTAGGGATGTTCTTTAGCAACTTATCAATATACAATTCTCTCTGTGGATATATATAACCAGTTTTGGATAACCACTAAATTTATTCCTTTCTATGTCTCATTATTATCTGTTGTCATAAACTGTTACTCTTCTTAACATTCGTTATGCCTGCTGAAATTCCATTCTTAAATTTCATTTTCCAATTTTGGAGTTTTGGGTCTGGTTCCATCCTTTTGATATTTACGAATCCTTATTTTTGTCTTTGATTTTCAGATTTCTCGAACGACTGTTTGTACGATGAGGAACGAACCAATCTGGAACAATTAGGTTTGTGTCATGGTGTTGATTCCTTAGCACTCATTGTAAATCTAGATTGCTGATCTTTGCCTAAGAAGTAATGAAAGCAATTTTAGCTATGGCTTCTGAGTATTCATTTCTCATATAAGATGGTACCTTAGAGATCCTTTATGGTTTGCAACTGAAATCTATGAGGTCACATTTCTCATATATATTCTAACAGTCTATTTACTCGGAACTCAGTATTCGTCTCAATCCCTTGGGACTTTGTCTCCTTTATCATATGAGGTGATTGTTCTTACAATCGTTTGGGAGTTTGGATTTTCTAAAAAAACTGGAGCAAGATTTCGTGTCATGATTTCTGCTATGTTGTCATCTGTAAGAAGTTAATCGAGATTGCTTTATGATTACAAGTCATGTTCTCTAAATACTTCTTTCTGATGACTTCTTAATTATATCATGGTTAGAGATTCGTTTTGGTAAAAACGGGCAATGAAAGGAAGTTGCATCCGCACAACACAAGGTTTTTACAGCTGAGAATTGATATCCAACCCACAATGAGAAAAGATTATCTCCACCCTATCCTTCTCACACTATGAGATCCACTATCTTACCACTAAAAACTAATCATCCAAGACCGCTATCAACTATTCAATTTCTATAATCACTTATATCCTGTGATGTATGTACTTAAAACGATTATGCACTCTTCTTTAAACTACATAATGTCACAATGTACCTTTCTCCAGTAACTTCGCAGGTTTTCAGTTTTGTTATTCATTCATTATCAATTAGATGCATCCAAATAGATGCATCAAAATGTGTATTCCACTTATTCGCGAAGCGAAGCGAGCAGGCATGGCTAGTATGTTATAAATTTGAAATTTAAGGTTTGATTACTCTAAAGGCAGTAAAGTTTCATTCCAATTTTAATACTTTTGTATGACAGAGACAATCAACAAAGTAAGTGTAATAAACATACAAAATAATCGAATCACTTGTTCAACAACGGTTACTAGTTAATCGACAAAATAAACCGACTATACAATTACAATTGATGACAATGCGAACTGACGAGACGAAAATCGGAGAGGGTGGTGAGTTCGAGCTGCCAACCTCATTAAGCAAGGTACTAGTTGGTTTGAACAATATCTATCTCGCTATCTAAAGGCAAAAACAGCCGAACACAAGTCCTCTTTAAACACCCATTTTGTTAACTAATGAGAGTGGAAGCAGACATCACGGGTATAGAATACAAGCCAAGCCCAAAATTATCAAGTAGACACAATGTCACGTATACATATCTATGTTACATAAGTTGCTAATCCTGACCAAGAAAGATGTAAACTATACATTACTCAAGCAGCCACGGCACGACGACCTCAGCCAGCTACATCGAAAAGCTCTCTCCAGGACGCCCGTCCTTGTCGAGCCCAGCGAGCTTGTTAACCGTAATCTTCCCTTTGTCCAGTGACTCCGCCACGCATGGCTGGGTTTGCGCCGAGATTTCCTGAGCCACGAACCGCATGGTGGGTCGTGACTCAGGCTTGGTCCGGGTGCAGGCCAATGCAGCTGTGAGTACGAAAACCACCTCCTCGGCTAGCTGACCCGTCGGAAGAGGAAGCCTCGGGTCCAGAATTTCATTCATGCATATCTCAGGATCATCTGCTGGAGACGACGACAGTGACAACAGAAACTCTCCGGGGTGCTTTCCCATCATGATTTCCAGTGTGACCACTCCGAAGCCGTACACATCACATTTGTCTGTCACCCGCATTGTTACTGCCAGCTCTGCAATGTTCATGATGGAACGGTCATTTGGAGTTGCAGTAGCAAGTAAATGGCAATGATTATCAGGCGTTCAAAAATGTTGGCAAATATGAGATTTGATGAGTTGGTTCTGAGATTTACCTGGAGCCATGTAGCCATAAGAACCGGCAACCGAGGTCCAATTGGAGGAATCTGTGGCGAGCAGTCGAGCTGTGCCGAAATCAGCAAGTCGAGGCTCGAAATCTGACTCCACCAGGACATTGTTCACAGATATGTCTCGATGCACGATCGGAGGGGTGCAATCATGGTGGAGGTAGGCGATAGCATGAGCCAGGCCTCTCACGATCTTGATCCTGGTACTCCAACCGAGCTCTGCTTCCCCTTCTACACCATACAACACTTTCCCCAGGCTCCCCCTCTCAATGAACTCATAGACCAAGTACAAGCACCCTCCTCTGGAACAGAACCCATACAGCTTGATGATGTTCCTGTGCCTCACTTCCGTCAACATCCTGATCTCGTTCTCGAAACTCTGTCGGTTGACTGCAGAGACTTCTCCGTCGGAGGAACAACTGGGAGCATTCAGTTTCTTCACTGCCACAACTTGTCCTGTTCCCAACTCTGCTCTGTAAACACTGCCGAACCCTCCCTTCCCGATGCAGAACTTGTCGTTGAAGTTATTAGTGGCCTTGGAGACATCCCCAAACGTGAATTTTCCGTCCCTGTCCCATATCACTGAGGTGGAAGCCTCGTACTTGTTCATGCTTTTTTTAGCCTCTTCATCAGCAAGATGGTCTTGCCGGCGGCGACATGCCATGACAGTTAATAAAGTAGCTGCTAACCCCACTAGCCCCAGAACTGGAACAATGACACCAAAGAGAACCTTCTTGTTAAACCGGGAGGAGGGTCGAACGGTCCCCGAAGGACCACATGGCGATAAACCTGCAATATTGCTTCCGCACAAGCCTGGGTTTCCAGCAAAAGCTTCTGAAGATGCATTGTGGAACAAGCTGTTACCGGTCGGGACGGGCCCAGTCAGGTTGTTGTATGAGAAATCAATGGAACGCAGACTCAGCAAGCCGGACGATATGGCAGTCGGAATCTTCCCCATGAAATCGTTACGAGACAAGTTGAGACTCTCCAGCGCTGTCAGCTTCCCCAGATTCTGAGGTATTTCACCAGAAAATGAGTTGCTGCTGAGATCCAACAGGTACTGCAATGCAATCAGGTTGCCCAGCTGCGATGGGATTTCACCTGATAGATTGTTGTGGCTCAAGTCCAAGCTCGAGAGCTTCTCACAGTTGCCAAGCTCCTCTGGAATGACTCCAATCAGGTTATTATCAGACAAATCAAGAGATTCAAGCTTGGACAAGTCCCCCAGGCTAGGAGGAATCTCGCCTGTTAAGTCATTGTTGCTCAGGCTAAGCCTGTATAACAAGCTCAGATTTCCCAACTCGGAAGGGATTTTCCCTGTCAAGTCATTGAATTCCAGAGCTAGCACCCGCAAATTAGTCACCTTTCCAAGTTCAGCAGGAATGTCACCAGTAATCTTGTTCCCATCGATCTGCAAGTTGGTGAGATTCTGGCATTCTCCCCACATCCCAGAAATCTTCCCCACAAAATGATTCTCTGCAAGAGAAACGAAAACAAGATTTGGATGGACTCCAAACGCATTGGTGATGTCACCAGTGAAGTGGTTCCCATCCACCCGGATTCTAACTAGCTCCGAGCAATTCTTCAAACAAGAAGGCAATGACCCTGTGATGTTGTTATCATTGACAGTCAGCTCATGCAGGGCTGAACCACTACATAGCTCAGGTGGCAACTCTCCACTGAAGCTGTTGTTGGAAAAGCTAGCACGTTGCAGAGAAGGCGAGTTCTTCCCAAGGTCTCTAGGAATGGTGCCTACGAAATGGTTGGTGAACAGGCTGATTGACACCAGAGAGCGGAGGCCAGAAATGGTGTCTGGCAACTCCCCAGACAATTGATTGGTGTTGAGGTCAAGGACTCTCAGTGATCTCAAGTTTCCAACCTCTGGTGGAATGGTGCCACTGAGATTGTTGGAGAAGAGATTCAGAGTGTCGAGACTCGTCAGATTACAGATTTCTGGAGGAATTGGACCAGAGAGTTGGTTTCCTGAAAGGTCAAGAAGCGACAAATTCTCCAGGTATCCAATCTCTGAGGGGATTGGACCAGAGAATGTATTGTTGTACAGGAAAAGAATACTGAGATTAGTCAGTTTCCCTATTTGCGGTGGAATGTTCCCTGACAATAAGTTGTTTTGAAGTTGCAGAGATCCCAAGTGCCTCCAATTAGCAAACAGACCAGCTGAGATCACTCCAGAGAAAAGGTTATCAGACAAACCAAGCTCGACAATTTCATTCAGATTTGACAAGGACAAGGGCAGTTCTCCGCTGAATTGATTCAGAGCTAAGGCCAAGTAGGTCAGCCTTGTGCAGAGGCCAATCTCAGAAGGTAAGGTTGAGTTCAAGTAATTCATTGTGAGATCAAGTCTTTCCAGATTCTTGAGCCGGCCCAAGGAAGAAGGAATGTTTCCTTGGAACGAATTGTTAGACAACTCAAGTATCCGAAGGCTAGAAATCAAACCAATACTTCCAGGAATTTGGCCAATCAAATCGTTGTTAGCAAGATGAAGGTTTCTAAGCTTGACAAGCTTCGAAACGCTAGTTGACAATGGTCCTTGGAATGAATTCGCGGTGAGATTCAAAGACTCAATATTT